CCCCAAAACCCCAAAACCCCAAAACCCCAAAACCCCAAAACCCCAAAACCCCAATAAAATAAAATAAATGTTTTATTATCAAGAATGGTTATCGAGAACTCTAATACATTCATTTAAATACGGAAGTGACCTTTGTTCCTCGTCCTTCTTCAGACTCAAGGGTGATATCTCCTCCCAACTTCTGAAGGATCTTCCTACAGATAGTAAGACCAAGACCACAGCCGGTCTTGTTACGGTTATGGTTGGAGCTGGTCTTGCCAAATAACTTAAAGAGTGAGGATTGGTCGCTCCTCGGGATCCCAATGCCTGTGTCTGAAACTGTTAATTTAAACTTTAGCTTTCTATATGGCTCAAATAGAGGTTTCTCCTCACGGTCTGAGTTTGATCTTGATCTGCCATTTAAGAGGCCAGCTAGATCAAGTCAGAGCACAATAAGTTACCTCTATTGTCAGGATACGTAGAATATTTGCTGACTCTTGGTAAATGAGGTCTACAGGTATATTCCTGGTTGACACTCTCTTCTGACAGGTGGGAATCTAACCTAGCAGATCCATGCTGAAGGAAGCTTCTTTGGCAATCTTTGGACTCCTCTTTTATCTCTTCTCTGCCTAAAAATTGTGAGCAAGGGCATGTGGAGCCTAGAAATTGGGAAAACTTCTTCAAATAAAGTGAAACTGGCTGGACTCATCTAAGTCCAGGACTAAAGAAGCGGAAGGCTTACGGAGGGAGCGCTCATCACTCGGGTTTATCTTTGTCAAGCTAATCCGGATTGTCCCTCTGTCTGTGAACTTCAAGGAGTTTGAGATCAGGTTGAGCAAGACCTGCTTTATTCTCTGTTTATCCGTCTTCACGAACAAGTTATCAACTTCTGGTGCAATGTAGAAGGTGAGGTCTATCTTTTTGCTCAGAGCCTGCAGCTCGAAGATGTCTCTAACTTCGTCCATGAGTGTGTTGAACTTGAACACTTTATCTTGAATCTCAAACACCCCTGACTCGATCTTGGCATGGTCAAGGATGTCTTCAACGAGGGATCTTAGAATATCTCAGCTTGATGAAGCTATTCTGAGTAACTTAGCTGAATCCCCATGGATCTGTCTTCTCAGAAGGGCCAGGCTCAGTGTCATTGCGTTTAGAGGGGTCCTGAACTCATGAGAGACATTGGCCAGCATCTGCCTCTGGTACTTGTTCTGAGCCTTTTGCTCCTCAAGTTGAGTAATCTGGGTAGTATCACTCAGAATATGGAGATACATTGAAGTATAAGGATCGTTAGGGTCGTTTGTATGAACTTTCCGAGTTTTGATGACGAATTCCCTCCTGATCATCTCTATGCCTTCGATGAAGTTGAAGTCGTCGAAGTAAACAGAGATTTTAGCCTCTCTTTCGTTCTCTTTTTCTTTTTCAAGCTTGCATCTTTCAAGGTCAAGGAACTCATTCAGCTTCATGTCGTCAGGACTGCCAAGCTTTTGAGTTTTCATCATCAAGGAGTTCCCTTCATGCTCTAAAAATGTGGTGTAGCCAACTTTGTGGCCAAAATTTCTAGAATTCATATCTTTGGAGGAATCCTTCTTTGAGATACTACTATTTTGAATAATCTTGAACTTCCTCAACGGGCACTGGGCATCGTCAGCTTCGGGCTTGTTTACTTCAGATGATTCTTTGATTTTCTGAAGAGTTTTATAAAATTCAAGGTTGATTTGGTCTTTGAGGTCAGCGAAGCCCGGAAACTCGCTCTCAGGCTCACAAAAAAGATTGATATCAAAATCTTCCACAAGCTGGGAGTTGTAGAACTTCAATCTTAGTTTGCTGTTGTCTACGAGCAAGGCCCCATCTGGTAAGCATTTCAAGACTTGCTTGAACTCTTTCGAAGATTCTTCAGCTTTTCAGTTTGCTGAAACTTCTCTTTGCAGAGTCCGAGAATTGAGGTAAGTCCCTAAGGCGTAGAAAATACAGGTTTCAACTAGAGCAATCACTAATTCATGCGGAATATTATCGAATGTTGTCATCATCCTGATTATATAATAGAGGTAGGATACGAATAAAAGGAGGGTCGCCAGCACCCAATTTGTGGACATGCACACTGACATCAGGAAGCTTAGTGAGATCTGAGTCATGAATCCTTCATAGAGCCTAAACTGCATTAGCAAAGTAATCGGAGTATTATGAAAATCTGTTAATTTTTTTGAAATTATATACATAAAGTTATTGCTCCTGGTTAAAATCTTTTATGTATTTCTAAGCCTCGGCTATCGAGCCTCTGACTCACGAGATAAATGACTAATTATCACCAGTAATTCAGAGACATGGGCAGCCTAATGAGCAAGTTGTTTTGAACTGGTTATGCTCGAATCAGTAGGGTTCAAATAATTAAGAAAAATCTAAGTTAGCCTTAATTCAGCAATAAATGAAGAACGACTTGTTTAAAACTTACCTGTACTGACTCAGAGCCGCGTTGATCTCAGTGAATGCAACCACAATGATCATTGAGAAGATCGGCCCGGAGTACTTGGCAGCCCAATCGAACTTGTCGACTGCCTTTTGGAAGACTCATAGGAAGAATATCAGCAGGATCAGAGTGATGGTCCTTACTAGAAAGATTGTAGAGTTCTCACTGTTGATGCTTAGCAAGGCTGCTACGACTAAGATCAGGATTCTGAGATAGAACGTCAGGATACTCCAGTTTTCTCGAATGTAATTAAGCTGTTTTTCTCTGAAGACAGCCTCGAATCTTCTCTGATCACCTGCTTCTTCAGGGTTCGCGGATGTAAACCAGCTATACACCATTGACCTTAAGCTTTGTACTATTTTTCTATAATAAGGTTAGTTCGGAATTATGTAAGCTCTCTTGCCACATATAAATCTACAAGAATAGCCTTGATCTCAGGAAATATAAGCTACATAGCTCGAGTAATAGCTGGTTTGAAGCAAGATTTCTTGATGATCATTAAGACCTCTGTACACTCTTTTATTTAGGTACGTACTCTATGTCCATTTTTAATAATTGAATTACAATCTATGCAGCTGTCATGGGGTTTTGGGGTTTTGGGGTTTTGGGGTTTTGGGG